ATATAAAAATATTAAAAAATAAAAAAAAAAAAAAAAAAAAAAAGTTGATTGTTTTTCCCTATAATTTTTTCTTTTTTTATATTTTTTTTGTATAAATTTTAATAGAATTAATTTTTAGTCTTAAACTAATGATAATTTTTTTTTATTTATATATATAGAAAATTTAGCTTCTAGTCAATTTACTGATTAGCATTTTTTCTAAATTTTTTTTTTTTTTTTTTTTTTTTAATTTGTCTTTTAAATGATTTATATATTTAGTACTCTCAAAGAATTAATAAATATGAAAAACTTTAAAATTTGAATAATACATATTTTAATTTTATATATATATATATAAATATATAAAATTTTTATAAATTTTTATAAATTTTTTAGTTTTGAGTTTTTATTTTTCATTGAATAAAACATTGATGACTTATAAAATATTTTGATTCTTAATTTATAAAATTTTAAATATTTAAATAAATATTTTTATTCTTAAAATTTTTATTATTTATATAAATTTTTTTTAATAAAGATATATGAAAATAACATTAAATTTGTTTAAATAAATCCATATACAAATATATATTCTAATTTAACAAAGGAATATAAATAAAAAATACAAATAACTAAATTTCTATCTTCTTAATAACAAATGGAACAATATATAGCACCGTAAGTATAAAGAATTAAAAAAAAAAAAATAAAATAAAATGATATGAAAAATATATATATTTTATTTGTTTATATATTTTTTATTATAACTTTAGAAGGGTAAATAAAAAGTACTTAAAAAATTTTTTTAATAAAAATGTAAGAATAGTAGGAAAAATTTTAAAAAAGGATGGAAATGAGTTAATTTTACAAACACCTGATAGTAATAAAACATAAAAGTAAATTTGTTATTCTCAAATTTTACAAAATCTTAATTTTGTTTAAATTGGAATATTTTATAGATGGAGAAATAAAATGCTTTTTAAATGAAAACCAAATGGTTGATTCATTAGATAAATATATTGAAGTTTTAGGAAGAGTTAAAAATTAAAATATATATTTCTTTTAAGTATAAAAAAATTATATATATGTATATATATTCTTTTTAATCTATAGGTTAACGAAGATGAAACATTAAGTGATATTGTTTATATACAAAATGGAGGAAATAATATAAGTTAAAAGAAAAAAATTAGAAAATTATAGTTACAAATTATATTATTTTTTATAATACATTTATATTAATTTTTACAGATATGAATGAATTAAATAATTTAATAAATATGACGTTTCTTGAAGAATTTGAAGAAATTTTTTGATTTCATTAATTAAACCTTTTTAATACATTTTGCACATAATCTATTTTCAACAATACACTTTTATTTTATTATTTTTTTTTTTTTTTTTTTTGGATTAATTTTTAATTTCGTTAATTTTTTATATTATATTTTTTTTTAATTTCTAAAAAAATTCTCTAACATAAAATTTTAATTTACTCTTTAAGTTATAAAAAAAAAAAAAAAAAAAAAAAAAAATTAAAATGTCATATTTTTATATTATTATTGTATTTTTGTATAATTTAAGGTTTTATATATTATAAAGAGTATATTTATTAGATTTTTTATTTTCATATTTTTAATTTAAATTAAATATAATCATAAATATGAAAAATAAATTAAATAAATTATTTTCTTCAACTATTTTTTTTATTTATTAGACAATTTAATAATATTATAGAGATTTTTGCTTACTTTTGAATATTACTCAATTGCTATATTTTAAATTGAAAAATTTGACATTTTCCATTACTTTTTCATTAAAATATTATATGTAAACTTTTATGCTAAATTTTTTTTTGTCATTCCTAAATCTTATTTAAATAATCTTTTCCAGAGCTCTATATATATATATATATATATAAAAATAAAAAATTAAATGGACAAAAGTAGTGACACACTATTTTTTTTTAACTCTACGTATAAAAGAAAGATTTTTATTTCATTATATGAAAAAAAAAAAAAAAAAAAAAAATTATGTATTAAATGATATTAGGTTCGAAAATAATTTGCATAAATATGGGAGAGTATTAAAAAAATATAGGATTTGTATTTTTAAATATATTTAATAAAAAAAAAAACTAAAAATTAAAGTTAAAAATTTAAAAATGGTATTACTGAAAATTCTAAAAAAAATAAAAGAAAAAAATAAAAATATAAGAATAATAATATTAGGTTTAGATAATGCAGGAAAAACTACAATAGTTAAAAGGTTAATGGGGGAAGATATTTACAAGGTTAATCCCACTTTTGGTTTTACAATTGAAACTTTATGTTTTAATAATCACTTTATTAATATATGGGATATAGGTGGACAAAAAAGTATTAGACATTTTTGGAAAAATTATTATGAAAATGTTGATGGGATAATTTATGTAATTGATAGTAGTGATTTATTTAGGATACAATTATGCTCATATGAGTTAAAACAAATTTTAAAAGAAGAAAGATTATATGGTTGCTCTTTGTTAATTCTATCTAATAAAATTGATATTGAGAATTCTCTAAATATCAACCAAATTGTTGATGTACTTTTTAAAATTTCTATTTATATATAATATATATATTATGCTTATATATGTATTGTACTTTAATTTTTTTTTTATATATTTAGCAATAATCTTTTCATTTAATTCATTTATTTTTTCTTTATATATTTATCAGTTCTATAAATTTATATATATTATGTTTTTTTCTTAATAAATTTATATTATTATCATTATATATTTATATATGATTTTTCCTTATAGATTTTGAAATTAAATGAAATGAACATAGACAGACATTGGTGCATAAATGAGTGTAGCGCTTTTTCAGGTAAAGGATTATTAAAATCGTTTATGTGGTTAGTTGATGATATAACTAGTAGACTTAACAATAATTATTAATATTTTTCTTTAACTTAAAACTAACATTATTTTATTTTATTTTATTTTATTTTATTTTTTTTTCTTGCTTTTATTTTTTAAATTAAAAAAAAAAAAAAATTATATAAATGAATAAAATAATATTTTACATTCTTATATATTTTATAAATATAAAACAATAAACTTTTAAAGTATGTAAAGTAGCCTTTTAATTATTATAAATATATGTGAAAAAAGTACAAAATTCTATAAAATTAATATTTTTTTTTTATGTATCTATAAATTATACATTTTTCGGAAATAAAAGAAAATTCAATTAATCTTCTGTTTCATGCCTTTCTGAATATTCTAATTGTTTAATTACTTCTTTTTCTAGAAAATCATATACACTTTCTTTACATAAACAAACAGTGTCACTAATTTTTTCAATTAAAAAATTTTTACCTTCATTTAAGAGCAAAATTATTTGCATTGTTGGTTCATCACATTTAACTAAAACTCCTTTTATAGCTGTAACCATTTTTTTTTTTTTTTTTTTTAATTTACAAATTTGTTGTATTATACATTAATGTACCTAAATACCTTTTAACTTATATATGTACTTCAATGCTTTTGTTTATTTCATCTTTATTTTTAAAAAAAATGAGAAAAAAAAAAATTTGCTTAAAATGTATATTTAATATAATAAAAAAAGGGTTTTCTATAATTTCATAATTCGGATTATTTCTTTTTAAATTAAAAATACAAATATATTTTTTAATTTTTTTACTAAAAGAGAATACTTACCAGTTCATTTAAAATAAAATTCTATTAATTTTTGTGGAAAAATATGTGTTTTTAAAAATTTTATATAAAATTCATGTATTATTACTAAAAAAAAAAATAAGAAAAAAAAAAAAAAAAAAATAAATCAGATATATAAATGAATAAAATAAATAAAAAATTCGTTTTATAATTGTAACATACTTGCTTAATATAAATTTGTAATGCCAAAAAAAAAAAAAAAAAAAAAAAATTTTTAAATGATCGGACAATGAACATATATAAAAATTGAATGAGTAATATATTTTTATGTTTACATAAGCATCAAAGTGTATAAATGAATTTTATAAAATTAAATAACATATGAACCTAACAAACAATAAAATAAATTTTTTTTTAATAAAACTGAAATACAAATAGCATAAATTCTTTAAATAAAATTTCTGAAATATATTAAAGACAACATAAGGAAATATGAGGTAATTATTAAAAAAAAAAAAAAAAAGAGTAAAAAAAATTTTTAATAGGTATTATATCTCTAAAATTTCTAAATAATAAAATATATAATATTAACATTTCTTTTCATATATAACAAAAATTTGTTCCTATTTCCTAATTTTATATATTTTTAAGATTTTTTAAACCCAAAAAAGATCCAACATTAGACGAAACTTATGGTAATATTTTATAATTTAAAAAAATTTCCAAAATTTTATAACAATAAATTTTTATTTTGGATTTTTTTTTTAATGCAAATTACATAAGTACATGTATTTCTATTTTATTTTTTTTTAGGTTACTTAGAAAAAAATGTAAAGAACATTGATGAAAATATTGAAAAGTATAACAAAGAACTAAATATAATTAAACAAAAAATTGAAGAGGAGAAGAAAAAAAATCCTGTTAATAAATATGCTATTGATAATTTAAGAACTAAAGCTGCAAATATAATAAAGAAAAAAAGAATATACGAAAGTAATAAAGAAAACACACTTGGAATTCAATTTAATATAGATCAAATAAAATTCGCAAATGACAATGTTCAAATGTCTATTGATACATGCAAAGCTTTAAAAAATACAAGCAAAATATTAAAAAAAAACATTAAAAAAGTTAATATCAGTAAGATAGAAAAATTACAAGATGATATTCATGATTATATTGAGGAGGCAAAAGAAATTGGAGAAATTCTATCCTCATCCTACGAGATACCTGTAGATTTAGATGAAAATGAAATTGATGCTGAACTCTCTTTAATAGAAGATAGTATACTAGATGAAAATTTAGAAGGAGAAAACATAACTAATTATTTAGAAAATGAGAATGAAAATGAAAAAATGTTACAAGAAGAAGCATCTGTGACTGAAAAAAGTGATCCAACTATTCAAAATGAAGTAAAACATACAGAAAAATATTTTACACAAAAAGAAAGCTAAAAAATAATAATTAAATATTGATGAAGAAATAAAATATATTCAATAAAAAGAAGAAAAAAAGAAAAATTAATAGTATTATATTTATATATACTTATTTTTTTTGTGTGTTTATTTTATAAAATCTATAAGTTATATATATCTTTAGAATATATATGTTATATATGATGCTTATTTAGTATCACTTTTATAATTTTTTTTTCAGAAATTATTTATATTATTGTCATAAAATAAAGATATTTTTTTTTTTAAATAAAGCATTTTTATGGTTGCGTAATAGTTATACTTCTAAAATACATATACAAGTAGTTACTTATATGTATATTTTTTTTTTTTTTTTTTGTTTAATAAATTCTTTATATTTCTTAGTTTTATTTATCTATTTTATTGTTATTTCTTTTTTTCTGCAAATATTTAAATTTATTTAATGGGTATACACATTAAATATATTTGTCATATGCTTTTTTTTAAATTTAACTTTTTAATAAATGATTTATTTAAAGTATATGTTAATATTACATATGTATATGCTATTTGTAATTTATTAGTTTTAATAGTAAAAATATAGCATTTTATTAGATTGGTTATTCAAAACTTTATACAAAAAAAAAATTTTTTTTTTTTTATTAAATTATAATTTTAAAAAATGATTATTGACATAAACAAAAAAAAAGATAAAATAAATTATAAATAATTAAAAATATGTTGTTAGACTTATGTGAAATATTTGTTTATTTGTTAAAAGATAAAAATTGTGTTTAAAAATTAAACAATTATTAACTTGTATATAATTTTTTTTCATTTTTTTAATTTTTAATAATCTTTTTTAAAAATTTTTGATGGTTTATATTTACTATCATTTTCAGGTGCACACATAAAAGGCCAGTAATCGTGTATACATTTCTCAAAAACATCATTTATAAAATTATGAGTATTTTGACTGCAAGGTTTATATTGGTATAATGAGGAATAAACATTGTTGTAAATGCATTTATTTTTTGATGTATTGTTAATTGTATCGCTTTTTAAATAATTAAAAACATCATGATCACCTGAAAAATATTTACTATTAAAATAATTACATTGATTACTCATATTGTAAGCTCTTATTTCTGAACAAGCAATATGATGACAATTATACATGTCTATATTTGCTCTAGCAAAATCAAAAGCATGAATAAGTTCATGAGTTAATATATATTTTAATTTATAAAAATTGGTAATGTTATTTGCACATAGCCATATAGTATTATTTATAGGATTATAGCCACCTACATAATTGGATTTTTTTTTTTTTTTTGGTGTATTATTAAAGTTGCTAAAGCTAGATGACGATAATTCTGAGCAAGAGCATTTTTCCTTTATAAATTTTTGATAATTATCTTTATTATTAACAAAAACATCATTAACTTTATATTGTGATGCAAAAAAATTACCAATTTTTTCATAAATTTTTTTTTTTGGCTCTTTATTGTTTGGACAATTTATATATATAACATTAATTGGACGATTCAATGCCGATAAGGAATCAACTAATATTTTAACTCTATAATTATTTAGTACAAAGTACATAAAAATTTGAAGTTTTATTTTGTCAAATAAACTTATATCACCGTTAAAATATGTATTAATTTTTTTTTCTTTTTCTTTACGCATATACAATTCTTCTTCTTTTTTCTTATTTTCTTCTTGTAAATGTTCTTTTACATTATTACCATCATTGTTATTGTTGTTACTTCTATTTACGTTATGATGATTATTCATTTCATTTTTATTTTTATCATCATTATTGTTTCCTTTTACGTATAATATATTTTTTTTTGTATTATTCATTTCGTAATTTATTTGTTCATTTATATTGTTTTTCCCAATATCTATTTCCTTATTTAAAGAAAAACTTTCATAATTTTTAAAAAATTCCTTATTTTTTTGAACAATTGTTCTAAAATTATCGTTCATATTATAATTTATTACAAATAAATCATTGTAATCAGGCCATCTACATATATTTTTGTACTTTAGTGAGTATTGTATTAAAAACAATATATCATTAAAATTATCATTTTCTCTATTATATGAAAAAATATTTTCTATATTTTTTTTTAAATCAATATGATTAATTTTCTTATAAATATTCTTTAAATTTTGTTTTAAGTTTTCCAATTTTTTGCATAATTCCTCCATTACTGCTTAAAATATAAGAGAAAAAAAAAAAAAAAAAAGAATTCAAAAGTATTTTTCTTCTTTTAATAATTCCTTCTAAATTATTTGCATTTACTTTTGTTCCTAAATATTTTATTTTGTGGTCATTTTTTACATTAAAATACCAATATAAACAAATAACATTAAAAAAAAAAAAAAATTATATATATATATATATATATATTTATAATTATTAAAAATAGAAGTAACGATAAAACGTTCACATAAAAGTATTAAAAAAAAAGAGTATAAGGAATTAAATTTAATAGATAATAAAAAAAAAAAAAAAAAAAAAAAATATATTATTATATCATTATTCAAACTAATAATTTAACCATTTTTATTTTTCTTAGAAATATTAATTCTCATAATATTTTGCAACATAAAACATTATTTTACAATTAGTTTACATCTTATGGAATATTCTTTTTTTTAAAATATTAAATATGACTTATTAAAATGAAATAATCATTACATATTATTTTTATATATTTTAAGACACAACATTCTTTTAGGAACTTTTTCAAATATCATAAGTTATAATGATAAAAAGAAGTGACATATACTTTATAACATTTACTTTTTTTTATATTTTATACATATAGAATAAACTGTAACAGACATTTACAGAGTATTATGAATTCATAAAATGACAAAAAACAATGTATCTAAAATTTTATTAATTTTTATTTTCATATGAAATTTGTTGTAAAATATATTAAAAAAAGAAAATAATAGTATTAATTTAAAAATGATAAATATTATTTAAAAAATAAGATACAAATAAGATAGCAAATGAGCAAGTACTTGGGAAGAAAAACAAAAGAAAAACGTCTATAAAAATAAAAATCATGTGTTTCTATTTTATTATTTTTGTGTAATTAATTTTATCAATTTTTGTACGTTGTCAAAGAAGGAAATTTTCTCTTGTGAAAATAAGTTATGAGTAAAATTTTAAAATTATATATTAAAACATGAAATGTCTATATATTTTATTTTCGAAGTTTTGTTTATTTTGCAATTTATTTTAATTAAGAAACAACTTATATTCATTTATCTCTAAAATATTTAACGTAAATTATTTAATACATACATATATTTTTCAATATATTTGCTTTGCATATATTGTTCTAAAATAAGATGTTTCGTAATTTCATTGTATTTTATTTCTTTTATGGATGTCTTATATTTTTTTATATGTAAAATATGGAAATAATTTATATTTTATTCTATACATACATATATATATATTTTACACACAATTATGCTGCACACTTAATTTAAGTAAATATAAGATATATAAAAATAAACATGTTTATAGATAATAAAAAAAATATTTCATATAATATTCAAATATAAATATTTTTTTTCAAATTAAAATATTAATTTTTTTTTTTTTCTTTTATAAATATTTTTATTTTGTAAGTTATTTTTATATAATCAATAATAAATATATAAGATAAAAATTTTCTCTTATTTGTAATTTTAAGTTCAAGTAATTTTTTGAAATACCATTAAATAAAATTTTTCACATTTTATATAATGTTATGATCCTTTAAAAGAATATCTAAATGTACAAAAACAAAATGATACTTCATAAAGGAAAAAAAAAAAAAAGATATATAATTATATATATTCATTACTTAAATGATATTAAATGTATGAAAAATTAAGCGGAAAAAGTTTCAAAATTTTTACATAAAATTTAACATAAAAAAAATATACTTATTTGAACTAAATGAATCTTTTATGAAAGATTATATTAATAATATGCATGTTTAATATATTATTAATTTTTTAATAAATAGTAAAAAAAAAAAAAAAAAAAAACATCAAAAATGTTATATGTTTAACGCAAGATTTATTTTATGCAATAAAAATTTAATATGGAAGTTGTGAAGAAAAAATTTATATTTTTTCATAAAATTATGAGGTTTTTTTTTTTTCATAATAAATTTTACAATTTTATATTCAATTAAATAAAAGCAAAAGAAAAAAAATATATTTTTAAAACTAGTTTTGCATCTCTACTAATTTATTTAAAAGGTCTTATAATAAATAAATAAAAAAAAAAATTTATAAACATCATAAACAACTGCATTTTTCTATGAACATTATAAATATATTTTATTTATGCATATTTATTTATATATCAAGTTTCTTAAAAACTAAAGAAAATAATTTACAATGTAAAAATATATTTTTAATATAACTTTTTTTTATATTTTTCTTTTTAATAATAAACAAAAATTTAGTGATGTAATAAACTAATTTTAAAAAGTTCCATGTTTATAGTCAATATTTTTAATTTATACGTTTCTATTAAAATAAGTTAAAAATATTTAATAATTTTAAAACACTTTACACATTTTCAAAAGCAGTGGAAATCTCACTACTAGCTGATATTTAATATTTAATGAATATATATTTTATTTTTTTTTTTGTTTTACTTTACTATTTAAATAATAAAAAGATAATATAAAAAAAATAAAATTTTCTTAATATATTAACACTTTAAAAAATGTGATAAAAAGTCTACATAAAGCATTTCAAAATATATGAAGAAGCATAATTGGCGAGTATCATTTTCTATGTATGCATAGTAAAATTCCAAAAAAAAATTTCATGCACTTAAGTAGCAATTATTCCTCTTTTTTTTTTTTTAAGTATATCCTTAAATACTTTAGAAAATAATCTTCATGAAAAAAAAAAAAAAAAAAAAAAAAAAGTGTTTATGAATAATGCAATTTACATACATATGCATATATGTATTTTTATATATATAATTTTTTTTTTTTTTTTTTTAACTAATATAGATTATCATAGTTATGAGTTTTATTTTTTTTTAGTAATAAATATAATAATTATAAATTTTAATTTAGTTTTATTTTTTTTAATATTAAAAAAGTTATGAATGTGTAATTTTTTTTTTTTTTTTTTTTTCAATATAATATCAATTTGTCCACCTTTTTTTTTTTTTTTTTATTATCATCTAATAAAAATCTAATATAAACATTTATGTATATTTTTTTCTTTATAGAGCTTAAAGAGTTATATTATTACATTTTATTTTGATAATTTATACTTTATATATATATATATATTTTTAAGAATAAATTAATCCCATATTTTAGTATAATAAATAAATATGAAAATATAATTAAATTTTTATGGTAACAAGTTTATATATATGTAAATTTAAGATAATTTTTATTTACCATGTGAATTAATTACTTTTTTTTTTTTTTTACTTTATTTTATTTCACACTTTTAGTATTTGTCTTTTTTTTATTTTTTGTTTCTTTTGTTTCATTTTGTTTATCTTTTATTTATATATTTTATTTTTTTTTTATTTTAAGACTTACAACAACTAGAAATGGAATCAGAAAAATTATCTATGCATGAAGCTTATAAAAAGTTTTGCTCAAAGCATCCATTAAAAAAGTTATCTATGCCTAAAAGTGATCTAGTATGGTGTTATTATGATATTAATAGTAGAAATGACAATATAATAATATTTTTGCACGGAATATGTGGAACAGCTGGTTGTTATTTTTATCAGTTAGATTCATTATCTAACTTAGGTTTTAGAGTGATTTCCTTTCAGTACCCTTGTTACAATTATTTAAAAGATTGGATAAAAAATATGTGTAATATCTTAGAATATTTAAATATTAAAAAAGCTCATTTTTTTGCTAGCGATTTGGGAGGTTACTTGATTCAATTATATGCAAAATTATATCCATCAAAAATACAGTCTTTAATTTTATGTAATTCATATAGAAAAACAGATGATTTTGCAGCAATATCTTCATTAAGAAACATATATGGAAAGTTATACAGTTTTTTACCACATGTTTTATTAAAAAAAATAATATTAGAAAATTACATATATATCAATTATGTAAATATAGATTTAAAAGAGAAAAATTCTTTAGAATTTATGAGCAATGAAATTGATTTAATTTCTGCTTCAGATTTAGGAGGAAGAATTAGCTTGCAGTTATCATCAGAAATAATTGATAGAATTTATGTTAATGATAGACATATAACTATTTTGCAAACATTAAATAATATGTATTCAGATAGTTTAAATGAAGATATGAAAAAAGCTTATCCTTTTGCCAAACATGCTATTATGAAATCAGGTGGTGATTTTCCATATTTAAGTAGATATGAAGAAGTAAACATGTACATTTTAGTTCATTTAAGAAATAATTGCAATACAACCTTTGTCAAAGAACAGATTAGTAATATGAATTATTCTCATCAACTAAAAAATGAAGATGATTATGACCAAATTTATGAAAGAAAAAAACATGATTCACATAATTATTATACAAGTGAAAGTAATTTTAAGGGAGGATACAATAATTCTAATAATAATTCTAATAATGATTCTAATAATAATTCTAATAATAATTATAATAATAATAATAATTATAATAATAATAATAATTATAATAATAATAATTATAATAATAATAATAATGTAAATACATATGATTATAGGGAAAAGTATAGTATAGGAACAAGTGAAAATGAAACAATAAATAATAATATAAATGATAATTACCATGAACAGTATGATTCTAATTTATATAAAAACGGAAATTATATTATTAACAAAAATAATAATAATAATAATAATAATAATAATAACAAAAATGAATATAATCATGGTGATGAAAATTTTACATTCTGCAAAAATAATTCAAGCAATAATCATATCAAACAAAACATTTTTGAAGAACGAAATAGAAATCATTCAGTTATAAAAAATTATTCAAGTGATAATTATGATTTTTCAAACAACTTTAATAACCTTAACATCAATCATAATGATCATAATTACAGGGACAATAGCGATGATTACAGAAATATAACAGATGACACATATAATAACATTAATAATGAATATAGTTACATTGACACAAGTAATGAAAACTTTAATAAAACTAATCAAAATATTAATAATTCAGAGGATAGTTATAACAACGAATCAATAGAATATCAAGATAATTTTAATCAAAATGATACAAGGTATAATACTACTAATATCAATCAAAATGATATTTTTTGCCATTTTTAATATATATACATATTTTGAAAACATTAAATTTCTTTATTTTATACTTTTTGTTAGAAATAATAAAAGTTATAAAAAAAAAAAAAAAGTAAATAAGTATTATTTTTTTACTTGCTTACATGTCTTTTTATGCATACGATTTATCTTTTATTTTTTTTTTATTTTTCGTAGTTTTTATTTGTTTTTATTTATTTATTTATTTATTTATTTATTTATTTATTTATTTATTTATTTATTTATTTATTTATTTATTTATTTTTTTTTTTTTTTTTTTTTTTTTTTTTTTTTTTTTTTTTTTTTTTTTTTGTTTTTTTTTTTTTTTTTTNTTTTTTTTTTTTTTTTTTTAATTTTTTCTTAATTTCACTTTTTAATTTTCCTTTTTTTCTAAGACTTGAACTTTATTATTGTTGAAACTAATCTAAAAAAATTTCTTTTAATCAAAATAAACATATATATATGTATGTGCAAATATATATATATATTTTTTCTTAAAGAATAAAATTTTTGCATGTTTTTTGTGTTTAATTCTTCTGTTTTAAACAAAATTTATTTTTATTACATTTTTAAAAAATTTTTATTAACTATATCATTAACAAATTTTTAATTTAAAAAAAAAAAAAAATATGATAATTTTACAAAAAATATGTCTCATTAACTATGAGTTAATGTAGAAATATTAAAATAATGCAAAAATAAAATGATAAAATAACAAATTAAAAATTTTGGTGTGTAATTAAAACAAATTTAAAAAGAAAAAAAAAAAAAAAGATGGATATTACAGATTTTGAAATCCCATTATTTTCTCCTAATATTACAGAAATAAATTTCGGGATATTTGACTTATGGTTAAAAGGATACAATGGTAGTGAAATAATTTTATGATTAGTTCCTATAAAAATATTATTCTTTATAGTATATATAAAATATAACAAAAAAAAAAAAAAAAAAGAAAAAAAGAAAGAAATAAAGAAAGAAAAAAAGAAAGAAAAAAAGAAAGAAAAAAAGAAAGAAAAAAAGAAAGAAAAAAAGAAAGAAAAAAAGAAAGAAGAATATAAAGAAAAAATTACTAAATAGGGAGAATATATATATATAAATATGTATATCATGAAAATGTAATATAATTCAATGTAACAAAATAATTTTTGAATATATTAAAAATATAAAGTGAAAAAAAAAAAAATAGTGAATATCCTATAGAATCAAATTTTGTAGTTTATTTTTTTTTTTTTTTTTATTCGTATGAGAAATTCATATAACATAGTGATGTTTAATTTCCATAGATTTATTAACAAAATTTTGTTTCTTTTTGTTTTTTTTTCCTTTTCGCAGAAAAAGAAGTGTTACAATTACTTCAAAATACTTTTTATTCTCATTTAATAAAGGAAACAAATGAAGAAAATAATAACAATGGAGAATTATTTAATAAAATAAAAAACGAAGCTAAAAATAATGAAAAAGATAGATTATACATAGAAAAAGCTAAAGATAACGTTTTTTTAGTAAAAAGTAGAATAGTTAATTTTTTTAACACAGAAAACAAGGGAAATGACTACAGCACTAATAATATTTTTTTTCAATACTTTTTATGCTTATATATAAAACAACAGTTTTATATATTTAACATATTATCTTATCACTTAATGAATTTAGATTTACGATTTTCCCATTTTTATATTCCTATCAGTAAAAATAAAATTTTAAAACTAATAAAAAGATATTATAATATTGATATTAATTTAGAAAAAGAAATTATTAAGTATAAAAATATTAATAATATAACAAAATATATTAATGATTTGGTAAAACTTACGAATCTTCATAAAATATCAGTTAAAAGACAAATAGAAAATATAAAAAATATGTGGAGATATATATTAAATATATATGAAAGAAGAGATATAAACATAAGTAAATTACAGAAAAAAAGAAAAATAAGTATAAAAAGAGTACTAAAATACATTAAAACCAACTTTCGCCTATATAAATATTTTATAAAAAGAGAAAATGTTTTAGAAACTAATGATAACAATCAAAATAAATCCTTTTTATTTAAAAATAAAAAAAAAAGAAAAGGTAAAAAAAAAGGAAAAAAAAGTAAATCAAAAAATGATTTTTATCAATATAATATAATAAAAATATTAGAAAGTTTAGTAGGTATTTCTTTGGCGAAAAGATATTTTCGCTTATATTGGATATTAGCATATCAAATAGAAATACCAAAAAAAATTAACATTTCATACATTTATTTTAATAATATCATTTTGTTAATATTAGAAAAATTGCAAATAAATGACTTAATATTATCAAAAGAATATATAAATATAAGTAAAAACATATATTCTACGTATAAAAGTAATAAGAATATGGATATTCTAAAAAGTAAATTATTTAGTATGATTGAAATAAATAATTCTTTAAAAAACAAATGTTTTATTAGACTTAAGTGCATTATAAATCTTTTGTGTTGTTTTAGAAATGTAATATAATTTTAAAGGGATACCTAAATATATATAAAGATATATATATATATATATATATATGTAAATATGTAGAATATGTAGAATATGTAGAATATTTATGATCAAATAATATATATATATATATATCTATTAAAATACTTATCTTTAATAATTATAAATATTATTTATTATTATTATTCTCATTTTTTTTTCTTTTCTATATAGTCATTTGAAATAACAAAATTTTTTTTAATTTTCATCGAATTACAAAAAAATGAATCTTTCACAAATGAGCAAGCATTTGTAAAACAAAACATTGGAAATAATATTTTTGTAAATAGAATTATGAGTTTCATAAAGTAATTTTTATCTATTAAAACACAATAATAATAACATTATGTCTACATAATAAAGATATATTAATAACAACGTGAAATAATAAATTTATATAATCAACATATTAAATAAATGAGGAAATTATTAATGAAATAAAATATCATTAAATATTCAAAATAAATTATTTACTATATATATACATATATATTTATTTGTTTATTTATTTGTTTATTTATTTGTTTATTTATTTGTTTATTTATTTGTTTATTTATTTGTTTATTTATTTACTTATTTGTTTTACACACCTATTTATTTATTCTTATATTTATCTATTTTATAGAGAAGCAGAAAATTACTCTAAAACAAAAAAGATAGAAGATGATAATAAAAAGGAAAATGAAAAAACTAAAAATTTTTAAAAATTTGAAAATGTTCATAGGATATAATATAATATGTATAAAATTAGGAAAAATAAAAGTAAAAAATTTTTAATTTTATACGTGAGTTGAAATGTTATATATTTCGTATTTTTTTATTTATAGGTTTTAAAATTTGCTCAAATTTGTATAAAATTATATAAATTAGATAGTACTTGCATTCTATATTAGATAACTTTTTTTTTTTTTTTTGTATTATTATGTCTACAATCAAATTTTTAGTATATTATTTAACTTTTTTATTCCGTATTTTCATAAGCAATATGTTCTATTTAATTTATTTTTTTTTTTTTTTTTTTTTTTGACAAGAAATTAAAACATATAGTTTTAAATAATAATATAAAATCAATAATATGTATAAGAAAAATAGAAATACTTTTTATAATATTTTTATTTATATGTTTATAATTTTTATAATATTCTAGAAATTTAAAAGAAAAAATAGTATAAAACAATAATAATATTTTTAAAAATTTTTTAATTATTTTAAAAAAAATTGATATATAGGTCAAATTGAATATGTATTGTGTTGGAAAAAATTTGCTTTACTTCATATATATATATAATTAAATCATTTATTTTCATCATCTTCCTCTTCTTCTTCCTCTTCCTCTTCTTCTTCTTCTTCTTCTTCTTCTTCTTCCTCTTCTTCCTCTTCTGCAACATAATCCTCTTCATCTTCATCTTCAACATATTCTTCTTCATCTGATTCTGATAATTCATCACGAAAATCTTGTTTATTTTCGGTATTATTTGCATCATCTTGAATATTAAGATTTTTACTTTTTAAAAAATTGAGTAATGGAACATACTCATTTTTATCAATATTAGTATATTCATAACTAATTCCTCTTTTGTGTTTAATAATCAGAGAAAAAAAACGGTGTTGATTTATATTTCCTGTTCTTTGAAAGCTTAAAGTAACAATATCTTCAAAAGAAATTAAAATAACTGGCTTAATAATAAAAAGAAAGTATTTATTTAATGGGTATAGTTGTCCACTAGCTGCTCTATAACTACAAGTAATTCCATATTGATTTTTAGCTGTTCTAAAATCTCCAGGTATAATTACACTTTTTTTAACTAAGGAAGTAAAAAGTCTTGTGACTACATCATATGGTTTTCCTGATATAGTTTTTTCTAGTTTATATTTTTTAATAATTTCTTCATTTGCATTTATATTTATATCCATATCATCATCATTGTTTAACTGGATTAATATAAAAGGATATTCAGTTTGCCCTTGTTTCATTTTGTTATTCAAACTAAAAATTAACACATATTGATTAGAATTACTTTTAGGAACTAATATCATTTTATTTATATTAGTATATTGAATTGTAAAATCATAAGACTTTCCATGTAATTTAAATGTTCTTATATACATTTCTATTTCATATCTACCTCTTGGGACTAATAGAGGTATATTTGTTAAAGATGCAATACTTTCACTTTTAGAATCACCAATATTAACTTTTTCTAATAAATCATTTTTTAAATTTTGAAAAGTTTGATTTTCATCATTTTCATGAGGATAATAAAAACGTATTTCTGCTAAAGAATCTTCATTGGTTTGATTTTCTTCATTTTTCAATTCCATAGCTATATCTGTTTTAATTTGAACATTTAATTGATTTATATTATTTGTAGGAATATTGAATGCATATTTTTTATCTATATCAAATAACAAATTAGAATTTTCAAATTTAAATTCTCCCCAATTCCATCCCTTTGTTGTTATTTTACGATTACTTAATCTTATATTAAAATATTTCTGAAAATGTTGTGTTATTTCATTTATATTTCTATCAGGAAAACCATCAAAATAAACTATCAAATTATCTTTTGATTCTATTAACTTTAAATGTAACCTATTATTATTATAACTTGTTTTTATCCACTCTCCTTCACTAATATCACTAAATTTATATTGATAAACATTATTTGTTTTCTTATTTTTCCATCCTAAAAATTCATTAGACATCCTAAATGACCCATAATCTCCTCCACCAAATCCTCTAATATTTCCAATTGAAATTACGGAATTATTATTTGAATTAGTCCCGTTATTATCTCCCATCAACTCTTATATCTTTTTCAAAAAAAAAAAATTTTAAAAGAGAAAAACTTTCAAAAAAAAAAAACAAAATTTAAAAAATTCTTTTTAATACTATATTAAAAAAATGACGAAAATGTGTAAATATTTCTAATCAGAATGATGTCTCTTTTGACATTAATAAATTTTCCTCATAAAGGAAATGATATAATATATTAATATTTTTGAAAAAAATTAAATTATTTTTTAAATATTCTAAAATAAAATAAAAAAGCAAAAGAAAAGAATATAAATATATATATATATATATTTTGTTAATGAAAATTATATAAATTTTCTAAAATTTTGAAGTTATAATAAGCATATTATTTTTATTGTAATATAAAATCCCTTTTATTTTTATAAAATAATTTTAGTTATTGTTTTAATAATTCCTCATTTAATTTCATTTCTCTTATCTATTTTTTTTTTTTTCTTTTTTTAACTTTATTTAAAACCATAAAAAGGGAACAAGTGGTAAAATGAAGTTATCAAAAATAGGATCATCAAAAAAAAAAAAAAAATTTAATATATTACAAATAAAATGAGAAAAGATGAAAGATAAAGAGAATTTAATCAAATAAAGAAAAATAAACTAAATAAAAAAAAAAAAAAAAAAAAAAAAAAATCAGAAATATAATTTAAATTGAACATACACAAAAGAGAAATTAATAAAATAATGTTAGAGTTGAAATTAAAAGCTAATCTATTTAAAGAAGTTAAAATTATATAAAATAAAAAAAAAAAAAAAATAAATAAATAATAATAAAAATAAAATAAAATGAAATAATAAATATAGTATATAAAAAAAAAAAAAATTATTAATACTAAATACATAAAAATGAAAAAGAAGTATATTAAAACTTTTTTTTCTTTTTTCTCTCTTTTTTTACATTCTGATATATTATATTCAACAAATTATAATTCCATATATCAATATTGCCGACTATATATAAACAATTATTAATTTGAAAAAAAAAAAAAAAAAAAAAAATGAAATTATTTTACGGTATGAAATATTTATAAAAAAATATACCTAATTTATTTAAGACAATAAAAATATTTTTTGTTCATTTATTTATTTTTATTTTTTACACATAAATTAGCAATATAACTTTTAACAAATAAATTTGTATTATTTTAAGTTAAAAAGGATACTTAAAAGAAATATATAAAAAAAAAAAATAGACAAAAATAGGAAACATTATTTTTTTTGTTTATCACAGAAGCATAATTTATTAATTGTTTTAAACGGTTTAAGTTATATAATTTTTTTAAACAATAATTTATAAGTAATGAGAGTTTACAAAAAATTATTTTATTAAAATAATTATTAAAATAAGAATGTTATTTAAGAAATCTTTATACTCTTCTCGTTAAATTTTAAATAAATGATTATATATAATTTATTCTTTTAATAAAATACAAAAATTTTTGTAATCATTTAAAAAAATAATTTTTAAGTGATAGAGAAAAATATAAAAACAATAAAAAGGGATAAAAGAATAAACATAAAAAAAGAAAAAAAAAAAAATAATTATAAAAAAAAAAAAAAAATAGACTAAATACTAAAAATAAAATTTATATACATATAGAAATATATTGTTCTCTTAATAAAATGTGTTATAAATGTACAGAAAAAATGTAAAAAAAGGGGAACAAATTTTAATCTTATTTTTAAGTTATAATTTAGATAAAAACATTTTCAAAAAACAATACAATAGTTTAAATTTTTAAATAATTAAAATTAAAATTCTGCAAATTAAAATGTAAATGTCTATTTTTTTTTTTTTTTTTTTTCTATTTATTGAATTATTTAATGTACAAATAAATTTTATAATTCATTTTAAAATGAGATAAATTATTTATTATATTTATTCTTTAATTCACATTTATTCGCATTTCTACTAAATATATTTATCCATCTTAATTTAGGTTGTGAAAAATTTATTTCATCAATTGAAATGTTAGAATTTTTTAAATTTTGTTTATGTTTACTATTATTTATATATGGCTTTGAAAAAATTTGAATTGAACTTTTGTTTAATTTTAAGTAATCTTTTAAATTATCTTTTATTTTATTACTTTTATTATTTTCTGTTATTTTCTTAGTTAAATAATTATTATTACCCATAAAACTTTTTAAATTTAATTTACGAAAGTTACTTATTTTTCTTTGTAAGATGTTGTTTGTTAAAAATTGATAATTATTATGAGGAAATGAACATAGCATAAGATTATTAAGATAATCAAAATTTTCAGGAAAATCAATATCATAAGATAATTTTAAATTTTTTTGATTATATTCATTACTATTTAATTTTTCTCCTACAGTACTTTTCATTAAAAAAATATTTGATATGGCATTTTTGTTAGTATTTTCATTACTATATATACTTAATGAATCAGTATTCTTTTTTTTATCTAATTCGTTAACATTTTTATTATTATAATTACTATTTTTTTTGATATAATCATTATTATTATTTACAAAAATATAATTATTTTTTATATTATTAAAATTATTTGATACTATATATTCCTTTTTATTATCCATTATTTTCTCTTTTAATGTAGTTATTTTGTTTTTATTTAACTGTTCAAATTGTCTATCAAATTTCAATTCATTTAATGTATTCATTTTATTTGCATATTCTATTATATCGCTGTTATGTTTTTCATTTATAATTTTAATGTTCACATGCTTTTTATTTATTTTATTATTATCACTTATTTTACTATCATAGTTTGTGCTCATTATGTAATAACAATTTTCTTTATTTCCATTAGGATCAATTAACTCATTTTTTTCTGTTAAATTTACACATTTTTGTGCATTATTATAGTTATTACTAAAATTTGTTTTTTTTAGATTATTATTTTCAATTAAATTAACATTTTTAAATTTAGAGTATATAGGATTACTACTACATAATTTGTGTTGAACCTTTAAAATTACATTTCCTTTATCTTTTAATAATAAATTTTGTGAAATACTATCATTATTTGTTCTTTTACTCATCACGCTATTATGTGGGCTCTTATTTCTTTTTTCATTAATAAATTTGTTCATTTCTTGCAAAAGGTTATCTTTATTATTACTACAAAGATTTTCATTTTGGAAATTTCTTAAATCTTCATTTTTCTCTAATTTCCCTTGATCGTTTTTTTGACAATTTTTATCTAATACAACCATATTAGAAGTTACATAAAATTCTTTATTTTTTTTTGAAGAAAATTGAGTTTTATCAGAACATATTTTTTTATTGTTTATATTATTATCAATATTTAATTTGTCATTTTTACATTCTTTATTTATAAAATTGTTTTTATCAATATTTATAAATTCTTTTTTTTTAATTAATGATGTAAACTTTTTTGTTAAAAGATTATTATCCGTTTCTATTTTTTCATTAAAAAAAGAACTTTCTAAATAATCATCATTTTTTTTTTTAACATAATTATTATTTATAACATTCTTTATGCATTTATTAGCAGAATTATTGTAACAAATTTTATCATTAGAATTATGTTTCCTATTCTCATTATGAGAATCATTATTTATAAAATTCGTATTTGAAAGAAAGTCACTTTTCTCATAAGAGTTATTTGTGTTTGTGTCTTTTAGATATATATTTTTATTTTTTACGTCTTCTCCTACTTTGCAAACGTTTGGTAAAATTTTATTTATTTTTAACTCAACCGCGTTTTTATTTGGATAAGAAAATGTATAAATTTTAGAAGAAATAGAACGAACATTTTCCTTTTCTTTTTCTTTTTCCTTTTCCTTTTCCTTTTCAAATTCTTCATTATATTTAAAATAAAATGATTTTTTTTCAATATTTTCATCTAATTTTTTAGGAAAATCATGATAATTAGAATGATTATTATCATTAATGTTGCTATTATTATCTTTGTTATATGTTTCATTATCATTATTACTATGAATGTTTTCTTTGTTATCAGTAATTCCTGTATTATTATCTTTTTTAGATTGTGTAAGTTGAATTTGTGATAAATCATCTTCTAAAATGTTCTTTTTATTATGTATATTATTAATGAATAAATAATCGTATATTTTTGTATGTTTTAAATTTTCAAAATTATCCCTTTTTATTTTGTTATTACTATATGATGCATTTCTTTGGTTATATTTTTCAAACGCAAAATTTAAATTATGTTTTCCTTTGTTATAAATTTCTTCATTTATATTTCTTTCTTTAATGATATTATTAATGTTATCATTTTTAAATGAACAATTAAAATTTTTTATATTGGAGTAATTAATTAAGCTAAATGATGTCCTTATATATGAAAAAGTATTTGAAAATATTCCCGAATTACTTGTATTTAACTTGTTTTCTTCATTATAATTTATAATGAAGTTTCCATCTTTCTTTTGATTAAATAAATAATATTTATTCAAGTAGATATTTTTACTTATATTATATTTTTTAAAATATTGATCTAAATGTTCTTCAAATCTCATTAACTTTTCTAATTGATTTTTATTACAATCATTAATTTTTTCTTCATTTGAATAGTTATCAACATTAGTAGAAATATTCAAATGATTACCATTCCTATTATTCGTTTCATTTTTATTAATATAAATATTTTTTTCCTTGTTTATATCATGAATTATTTTATTATTTTCTTTGTTATAAACATCTACGAAATCATTTTTTGATTTTAAATTAATCACACATACACTTAAACTTCTAAAGTTATCATCTTTAAGCGCATATTTAGGAAAACTGTTATCTTCTACTTTTTTTTCATTCAATTTCGTATATTTATTGCCACATGGTGAACTATTAAATTCATTATTATTTTTTCCACTTAATTTACATCTATTTTTATCAAATGATGGGATTTTTAATAATATATTATTGTATATTTTTCCATCTTTAATATTTCTTAAATGCTTTTCATAATTCACTAAATTGTAATTTCCTTCAAAAGAATATTTACATTCTAAATTAAAATTACTATTAAATTTATTACATGAATTATTTAATATATTTTCTTGTTCCTCTTTATTAGAAGTTTCATTATTAGTTATATTTTGACTTTCTTGAATTTTTAATTTATTACTTTTAACTTGAGAATTATCATAATTTTTCTTCTTTACCTTTAGTTTTTCATTAACGCTTTTATTTTCATACAATTTATTGTAATTATTAAAAATAACACTACTACTTTTCTTTTTTTTTGATAACTTAAAATAATTTTTATCTACTCTCAAGTTTTTAAGTAAATTTTTCGATTTAACTTTAGATAAAATTCCATCATTTTTATGTTTGTAATTTCTTATTTTATTTTTGTTATTACTAATGGTACTTAAAATACAATTTTCGCAATCACTATTAATACTAATATAATTATTATTGCTTTTCATAGTATTAATGTCATCATTTTTATAAGTATTATTGTTATCTATAATACAACTATCTTTGTAATCATCATAAAAAATACCACAATAATAATAATCACGGTTTGAATAATTCATATTTTTACAATTATTCTTGTGAGCAGAAATATTTTTATAATCAATTTTATTGGAAGAAAAATAAATAGATTCATCATCATTTATGTATTTATTAAATGATATGTTTTCATTAAATTTATCATGAATTATTATTTCATCTATTGAATTATGTTTTAGGTTGCTTAATAAATCATTTTCATTATTTTCATATATATAAAAAAAATCAGCGGAACGATTAAAGTTAATTATATCATTTTTAAAACTGCAAGAACTTATATCACAACATTCTTTTTTTTCATTTATCTCCATATTTTTTTCACATTTTTTCTGTTTTGCTTTTATTTTATAGTTTAAGTTATCACCTTTAAAATAATTCAGTTTACTTGAATATTTTGTCTTTTTGTTATAAGAAAATACTTTATCAAAATTTATATAATATTTTTTCATATAATTATTGAAATTAGATGGATGTAAATTATACTCATTTTTATTTGAATAGTAGAGTTTTTTTAGTTTTAAAAATTTATCTTTATCATCAATATTTTCTATATTAATGTTTTTTTCACTATTTAAATCGAATTTTAAAATATCCTTTTTTTCATTAAGGGAACCAAACACATCCGTTTTTAACTTTTCATAGATATCATTTTTTAATAAATTGTCTTTTTCATAACTACTTAAATTATTTTCATTTGTAACTTTTACAAGTGATACATTTTTAACATTATAATTATTAAATTCATTTTTTTTTTTATTAATTTCTTTCCTTACAAAAATATTATTTCCTTTTTTTGTTTTTGATCCTTCAGAATTATTTTCTTTAGTATTACTTCCTTTTTCATTTGGAGATCCATTCTCTATAAAATTTTTTGTTCTACCTACACATGTTTCATCTAAAACATTTTGGTGGCACATATTTAAAGTACTTTTTTTTTCTTCTAATATATCCTTTTCACATTTAAGATTTTCAGTAAGATTATTATAATTACCATTATGCTTATAATTTTCATTTTTACAATTATAATAATGTTCAGTGTATTTATAACTTTTATTTTCTCTAGAAGAATTTTCGACACATATATTTTTATTTTTATCATTATTATTGTCATTATGACCATTATAATCTTTATCATCATCACTTTTATCATTATCTGTATAATTATATTTTATTGAATTTATGTCATTAATACTTTCAAGTATTTCATTTTTTTTTTTTTTTTTTTTTTTTTTTTTTTCTTCATTATTATTACTGTTATCTGTATTAAGAACTGGACACTTTTCATGATATCTTTCTTCTTTTTTAATAGAAGTCAGATTTATTTCATTATTTATTTTTTCATTGAATTTAAAGTAATCATTTTCTTTTAGAATTTTATTATTACTTTTATATGAATCTTTACTATTTGATGCACTTTTAATTTTATCTTCACAGTTTATTGTGTTAGTGACTTTTTGATTATTATTTATTGAATCCTTTTTTCTTATAGAAAGTAAAACATCATTACTAAATTTATCATTACTAAATTTATCATTACTAAATTTATCATTATTAAATTTATCATTATTAAATTTATCATTACTAAATTTATCATTATTAAATTTATCATTACTTATATTTGTTATATTACTATTTTTAATTTTATTGTTCGAATGAATTTTGTTATATTGATTATTATCTGTAAAATTTATCTTTTCTGTTTCTTCATTGATATACGTTTCACTCTCAAGTATTTCATGCATATATTCGCTTTTTTCTATTTTTGAGGGTTCAACTTCAATATTTTTTTTGTTAATACTATTGTTTTCATTAAAAAATTCATGATTTAACTTATTTTCTTTTCTTATATCATCTTTAATTTTATCGTTTTTTATTTGAGAATTATTTATTTTATTAAATATAATTTCTTCAATGTTTACAATTTTTGTTGAATGTTTTGAATTATAAAAATTTTTGTTACATTCTTCATGATTTGCATCCTTTTTAATAATATATGTGTCTTTTTTTTTTAAATTGGTAGAATCTATTTTTATTGGTATGTCGTTCTTGTCAACTGATGAGTTTAATTTAGAATTTCCATAAAAATTCGATTTATCTGAGAAGCTAGAATTAACATTAGCATGTTTATTTTCATTTATATCATTTTTTTCATCAGTATATTTTAATTGTTTATTTATTTTCCTATCTGCATTTTCTTTTCCAATTAAAATGCTGCCATTGTTCAAATTGTTTTGTTCATTTTTACCAAGTTTTAAGCTATTTTTTTTATTTATTTTTTCATCTTGTTTTCCATTTGTTTCTTTTACGAATTTATTTGAGTTTATTAAAGTGTTCTTATAATGTTCATTATTAAAGCAACTAATTTTAATTTGTTTTTCATAATTTTTTAAAAGAGAATTCTCATTTTTCATATGTGGGCATACTTTATAATTAAAATTATTAGAATTCATGTAATCAGAAATTCCTCTTCTATAAGTATCATTTTTAAAATATCTCAAATTATCATTATCAAATGAAGCTACTTGCTTTTCTGGTAAAACATGAGAATATATATTATTAGAAAAATTATTTCTATTGAGTAAATATTCAATATACATATTATTTTTATCATAATAATAATATTTGTAGTGAATTTTATTATAATCTGGATGAATGTTGGAAGAAATATCATTTTGCGAAATATTTTTTTCGTTTAAATTATATATGCTACTACTATTTAATGAAATAATATTTTCTGAAGATATACTATTATTGGTAGTATTATTAGAGTAATTTGTATTATGTAAATACTTAATTTTATATGCATTATTGTCTTTATATGTATTAATTAGATGATGATAGTTATTATAATTTTTTAAAATTATATCTTTATAATCATTGGGTAAATTAACATCATAATTTTTTAAGAAATAGATATTTTCGTAAGTATTATTATTTATTAAAATTTTATCATTTCTATTCAATTTATTATTTTTATCAATATAAAAATTATTTCTATTAAAGTATACATCGTAAATATAATTGTCATCGTTTGGATATTTAGGACTGTTAAATTTCTCAAATAATTTATATTTGTCATCTGCATACTTATTTTCCATTGTTAATTTTTCTAAATAATTATTTTCTTCGTAGATATTATTTTTCTCTGTATTTGTAAGTTCTATTTTACTATTTAAAGAATTATAGTTAAAATTTTTTTGTTTTGTTTTATTATCTATTTCAGTGATATTTTTCTTATATGTAAATATAATGTCTGAAAATTTTTTATTTTCTTTGTTTACCTTATCCACATTACAATGTTTTAAATTATTATGTAACAGTTCTTTTTTGTCGTAAATATATAAATCATTATTTTTATTTAAAATAGATGAATATTCACAAAGATAACCTTTCTTATTATCATTATCATTCTTATTATTATTACTGTTATTCTCCTTGTTATTGTTATCCTTATTATTATTATTATAGTTATTATTAATATGGTAATTATTATTACTATTATTAATTTTTTTATTATTGATTTTAATGTTATTATTAATATTATTGTTGTTATTCATTAAAGCTAATTTTTTATAGATATTATAATCTAAAATATTTTTATTACTATATATAGGACAAGCAACAGTTGATGATAAAGGAAAGTTGATTTTTTTATTTATGTAAGATATCTCTAGTTTATTTTTAGCAGTGTCAGATAGCCATTCATGATTAATAATTTCATCAAGTGATAAACGGTTCATTGGATTGATATTAAGCATTCCTGATAATAAATTTTTAGCATTTGTAGAAAATTTATTAACTCTATTTTTGGGATAAATAATTTTATTCTTTATAATTTCATTATAAGCTTCTTTAATTTCTTTATCTTCGTTATCAAAAGGTAGTAAACCAAAAAACATGGCATATAAAATTATACCTAAACTCCATATATCTGCTTTTTTTCCATCATATCCATTTATATTATTACAACCCAGAACTTCTGGTGCAGCATAGCTCAAAGTTCCAACAATATCATAATGTAATTTATTTTTTTCATTAAAACAACATGCACCGAAATCTCCAATTTTTAAATCATATTCTGAACAGGATGGTAATTTTCCTATTCTAATTAATGTTTTTTCTTTTTGAGTTAATTGTTTTTTACATAAAAATATATTTTCAGGTTTTAAATCTCTATGAGCTATATTATTTTGGTGTATATATTTTAATCCTTCAACAATTTTTTTAAAAAAATATTGTGCACTAGATTCATCTAAATGCAATTTCTATAAAATATATTCAACATATTAAAAAAAAAAAAAAAAAAAAATTAAATAAATATATTATTATATATATATAATTTCATAAATCTATGTATATGTTAAGATAAAACAATCATATAATAAATATAACAACAGATATATAGAAATAAAATTATATATATATTTTTTTTTTTTTTTTTTTTGTATATTACATTTCTAACGTATGATATTAAATCACCACCATCACAATACTCCATTATTTGAATAATTTTATCTTTTGTTTCTAATATATTTATTGTTTTAACAACACATGGATGATTCATTTTACAGGATACTTTGATTTCTTCTTTTAATTTTTGAAATAGACCTAAATCTCCTTGTGCTGTTGATTTATCAATAGCTTTTGCAGCAACAAAAATACCTATGTTTTATTAAAATTTGCATATATTAATAAATAATGTAATAATTGTATTTAAATAGTTAATTATATATATATATATATATAAATGTTTTATAAGTATATATAATTTATGAACCTGTTATTTTATCTAAGGCCAAATGAACTTGGCCAACTGATCCCGTATTTATTTTTTCTAAAATTATATAATTTTTTATGTGATAATATTGTAGAGTATCACTTAATTTTTTTTTTGAATATCTTAATTGAATTTTTTTTCCATGAGAAACTAATGCATTAAATAATTGATTTCCTTTATTTATCCCTCTAGACATTATATCATCAATATGTGCTCCCCATTGCAATGATTCAGGTTTTTTTCCTTAAATTTGTCGTTAAAATTTTATTTTAATTAATACATTTATTTAATTTTTACTATAATATTTTTATTCTAATTTACTTCATTTTGAAAAAATAGTTTACTGTTTATTCTTCTCGTTTAAAATTATTATTTTTATTAATTTTTTTTTTTTTAGATTACCTGCTAAGAAATCTAAAATACTCCTTATTTGTGGGCTACATGATTGATAAAGTTTTAAAAACTAAGAGCACCAATTTTGTAAATTGTTATATACAAAAAAAAAAAAAAAAAAAGAAAAAATAAAATAAAATAAAATAAAATGATTAATATCAATAAAGTAATATTTCATCTAAAATTAATGAAGCTATGAAAATAAAAACAACAAAGTATAAAAATATAAAAAGGGTTAAATTAATTTCTTTGTCTAACCTGCCATATGATAAATATATTTTCTGTTAATTGTAAATCTAAACTTGTTACTGATTCAACTTGAGGAATGAGGCGTAGTTCTTTATCCCATTCAGATCTCCAATTAGGAGTATTTAGCATTATAAAAAAAAATTAAACAAAATAGAGTAAAAAAAAAAAGAAAAAAAAAAGAAAGAAAAAAAAAAACAAATCAAAATGAAAAAGGAAATAAATATTGACATAGACAAAAACAAAAACAAAAACAAAAACAAAAATAAAAACAAAAATAAAAACAAAAATAAAAATAAAAATAAAAACAAAAACAAAAATAAAAATAAAAATAAAAACAAAAATAAAAAAAATGAAAGAAAAATACAAATAAAAACAAATTTTAACACTTATAATAGTGCAAGCATAAGCATAAATCAACTAAGACAAAAATGTAAAAAAAAAAAAAAAATAAATAATTA